GTAGTAGGAAGAAAACAAATGCATAGACAATCACTCATAAAGTAATCGCTAAAAATATAATAATAGTTTACCTATTACAACAGGGCCAATATGTCAGCTTTTCAGTGCTGAAACAGAAGACAAACTAATGTGTATATAAAGTTGACATGGAAGTCTTTTTTGCACTGATCAAGAGATCATTTTTATTAATAGAATTTTTGTCACACACCATGAATAGTTACATAGTGAAGAAAGCCAAACATTGCTGGAAGCAACTGACAAAGATAAACTGATATTTCTGTACCCTCTCTTAAAATGCTTAACTTTTCTGCATTCAGTTCTGCTTAATTTAATTGCTACTTGCAAAATTAATTCTCTGTCAAGATTGTCACATCTTAAATACAGATAAATTGCTAGAGGTACATTATATATTCATACAGAAAAATACAAGACTAGTTTTTCACAATATTTATATGCTACAGTAACTATAAGCAATTTGTAAAGACAAATTTAAGGGGTACAGAAAACTGTTACTTGTTCTATATAGTTTGGTCCAATATATTTTAATGTTGTGGTTATTCTCTCTCTCCTTTAACAGAGCAAAATACAACATACAATACATGCACAGCCATTCACTTGTGAACAGATGAATAAAAGACAACATTCAGGCTAACATCTGTACACCCAAGTAGTTCACCCAACCATACATAACTAAAGGCAATTTTACAGCTATGCAGCATAATGGTCAACACGGCTGATCTAAAGTGAGCACCATATATATATTTACACATATACATATATACAATTGTATATAAAAATGGAAGAAACAAAAACTCCTGCGGTTGGTCAAAAAGGTGCCATTCCTAGGCTGTACATAATATATATTTACAGCAACTTAAAAATAAAAGCTGCAACAAAGTTTATTGCCAATGCCCTTTATAAATTTCCCCTACTTTTTATATAGATGCCCTATTTACTGATATTTATGAACTGTCCATATTTCTGGCCCTTTATAAGATCCCTGCCCAAGAAAATTTCAAACAAGTATTTTCTATGGCTTCACTTATATATCAGTTCTTTCAGCTTTATGCATATATATGTATGTATATATATATATATATATATATATATATATATATATATATATATATATATATATATGTATGTATATGTGTATATATATATATATGTATATACACACACACACACACACACACACACACACACACACACACACAGAATCTTGCAGAGTACTTATGTCAGACTGGTAAAGCATCCAAGCAGTTTAAAACAAGATTGCAACAAGAGTCTGAAAAACAAAAATGAAATATTTCATTTATACCTTGCTACACTTGGGAAATAAAAAGTATAAATCCTGAATTAGGCTAGATATTAAAATACACTGCATGATTCAGAACTATAGATGAATCTGTATTTACTTGGAAAGAAGCCATGATGAACTCAAATGGCTTTCTAATAAAATGTTTTAGATTGTACCTTCAGAGAGATTTACCATACTAAAAAAGGAAGCATAAATCATAATCCAATGTAACAATTCTTTGGTGCTCTACAATCCATAATGTAAATGAAATGCATTTTACTTGACCATTTTGCTAGCATCACAATACTGAGCTACAGAGAGTATTCGGACACCTTCACTTTTGTCAATTTTGTTATGCTGCAGCCTGAATCTACATTTGTTGAAATTCATTTTTTTCTTATTAATCTACACTCAATACTCCATAATGATGAAGAGAAAACAGAATTTGAGAAATATCTGTAAATTTATTAAAAAGAAAAAACTGAAATATGTTGGTTTAAATATTCAGATCCCTTGAAACAATACTTGAAATTTAGTTCAGGTGCCTTCCAGTTCTCTTGATTATTGCTGACATGTTTCTATACTTTCATTGGAGTCTACCTGTGGTAAATTAAATTGGTTGGACATAATTTGGAAAGGAGCACACCTCTCTATAAAGGCTTCCCATGCTGCAACATGCTGTTGCAGAGCAAAAGCCATGAGGCCAAAGGAACTGCCTGCAGAACTCAGAGACAGGATTATTGCAAGGCACAGATCTGGAGAAGGCTACAATAAAATTTCTGCTGCATTGAGGGTTCCTATCATAATCTCAAACAGAAGACATTTGACACAACCAAGACTCTTCCAAGAGCTGGTCGCCCAGTCAAACTGAGCAATCAGGGGAGAAGAGCCTTAGTAACAGAGGTGACCAAGAACTTGATGGTCACTCTGAGTTCCAGAGATCCTGTGTGGAGATGGGACAGAGTTCCAGAAGGACAACCATCACTGCAGTCCTCCACCAATCTGGCCTTTATGGCAGAGTGGCTAGACGGAAGCCTCTCAGTGCAAAACACATGAAAGCCCGGTTGGAGTTTGCAAAAAAGCACCTGAAGGACTCTGACTGTGAGAAACAAGATTCTCTGGTCTGATGAAACCAAGCTTGAATTGTTTGGACTTAATTTTAAATGTTATGTCTGGAGGAAATCAGGCACCTGCCCAATATCACTCCAGAAATAAAGCATGGTAGTGGCAGCATCATGCTCTGAGGTGTTATTTAGCAGCAGGGATAGGGAGACTGGTCTAGGTTGAGGGAAAGCTGAATGGAGCAAAGTACTCAATGAAAACCTGTAGAATAGCACCCAGGATCTCAGAAGGTTCATTTTCCAACATGACAATGATCCTAAGCACACAATCAAGACAACACAGGAATGGCTTAAGGACACCTCTGTGAATATCCTAGAGTGGCCCATCCAAAGCCCTCACTTAAACCTTATTGAACAACTCTGGAGGGACCTGAAAATGGCTGTCTACCAACAGTTGCCATCCAGCTGACTGAGCTTGAGAGGATTTGCAAGGAAGAATGGCAGAAAATTCCCCAATCCAGGCATGCAAAGCTTGACACTTCATAGTCCAAAAGACTCAAGGTTGTAATTGATGCCAAAGGTGCTTCAATAAGGTACTGAGTGAAGGGACTGAATACTTATGCCAATATGATATTTAAGTTTTTTCTTTTTAATAAATTTACAGACATTTCTAAACTTCTGCTTTCACTTTTCATTATGGGATACTGAATGTAGATTAAATGAATGAGAAAAAATGAATTTCAACAACTGTAGAATCAGGCTGCAGGATAACAAAATTGACAAAAGTGAAGATAGTCTGAATACTTTCTGAACTGAATGTAAACTCTCTCAGACTACTGTCTGGGTTGCTGCTACATAATACCATCAGTTCTTACCAGCATTGCTTTGAAGACCCAGTGCACAGAGCAAGAAAATAAATCTTATATTTCCCCAAATTGGGAATATTTTATTCTAGATATATATTCAGAAAAGTTAATTCATCAAGTCAAAAGTATTTTTAACAGAAAAAGTGCCAAAACATTCATTTGCTGGCATTTCAGTAGCAAGGGGTTTTTAAAAAGCAAATACTCAAGAATGAAAGAAAATTGTTCCATGCAAACTTGTGTTATTGATTTGATTTGGAGAATTATTAAAGCAAATTATACATCACATTCCAAACTAAATGTCCACTTAAAATAATTTGTTTTCCAGTAAGATAATCAATGGTGCATTTTAAATCCATAGAGAGAACTTGGGATATGTTATCAAATTTATATGCCATCTATCTTGCCATGGGGTATATTCAAGTATTCCAATAGGCTCTGCTAATCTGAACAGACTCTTGTTTTATTCAGATTCCAGCAACTACGCCTACTCTCTTTTACTAGAAATGTCTAGCTGAATTGGCATTTTGGTGTTCTGAAGCATTTTTGATATAATTAACATTATACAAAAGTGAAATTACCTATCTTGTCTCATTTATCTGAATGCTCAAATTACTTTATTATATTCTTAATGAACTCTTTGTGACAATTCCATTAATAGTGAAAATATTTAACAGCATAGTGGAAAGTAAATTTGGAAAAAAAACCTTTGCTTTTTCAATATCTTTATCAACAGTTACTACATATGAAATGATTTATTGGAATAGATATCAACTAGAGATCTATTTAAATAGACCTCAGCTACCACAAATTGGTCCATTTTAAATATTTTGCACAATACCTTACAACCCATTATATTAACAGTAATGAATGCTTTCCCTTGAATGGGGAAAATTTAAATTACACTATTTCCTTATTAGATAATTCTTTTTAAAAAAGATTGTCTGCATTTAATTATGGGGAAAGCTGCCTTGTAGATTTTTTTTTTTAAAAAAATCTTGTCTATATCAAATCAAGATCTTCATTTCAGCCATCATTCATGCATTTAAGACAAAGATGTGGGATTAAAAATCAAGCGTTCAAGATAACTTTTCAGTGCACTTTTGCTTTGTACAAGCCTTGAAATTCTGAAACCTCCAGAAGAGACTTCAGTATTAAAATTTTATTGCTTTGGTTCTGTTGCAAACACAGATAATTATGCCACATCTCATGTATTTTAAGTAACACAGAAGATCCGAACAAAATTTGTTGTTTTACAAAGAAACAAAATTTTTGTTTCTAATTTAAGTGCAGAATGTGAAACTACTAAGTGCTTAATTTATACTGGATTTGAACACAAGCCTTACTATAATCCCGATTTTCTACAGTAAAATTAGAAAGATAGAAAAATAACAAAAGCAATAGTATTTAGACTTATATACCGCTTCACAGTGCTTTACAGCTCTCTCTAAGCAGTTTACAGAGTCAGCATTTTGCCCCCAACAATCTGCGTTCTTATTTTACCAACCTCGGAAGGATGGAAGGCTGAGTCAACCTTGAGCCTGGTGGGACTCCAACTGCCAAACTGCACGCAGATGACAGTCAGCAGAAGTAGCCTGCAATACTGCATTCTAACCACCGCACCACTATGGCTCTTGGGTATGTTTGGAACAAAAGAAATTACTGGCTAGCAACATGCACAGTACATGCATTATCATAATAAGCAAAACTAAATTAAACTGTAATAAATTACTGCTTAAAGCCTATGTTAACATAAGAAGACAAAGTAACAAAAGATTCAGTGAAATAAAGTATTCACAGCTCTGAACAGGAAGATTGGTGATGTCAAGTAGAATGGGTTAAATATGACTATTGTCAAACAACATGACAGCAAGTTGTCTGACCTGATGTACATAATAATCCCTCCTTCGGATTTCGCTGAATATTCACAGATATTGTTTTTTCACATAGAGGTAGTTGTAGCACATTATTTTTCAAGTTCTTGTTCTTTATTCGTTCTAACTCATTTGCTGTATCTGACATTTGGTCAGAAAACAATTTTATACTGCTCAAAGATGAAACTGGATTTACACTCCCAGAACTTATGCACATTTTCCATGTTGATTTCTCCTGCACCTTCACACTGGAAAATGAAATGTTTTGGGGATCAATTATGTACTTAGTGCTACTGTGAATATGAGAACCTAAACAAATGCTCATCAACTTGAGACTTTCAACCAGATCACCCGCACTTCTTGATGACAACTGCACTGAATTACCAGATCCTGCACATCTGCGAGTGGAACCTGAATTATTATTCGTGCTTCCACTAGAGCCACTGGAAGGACTTCCACCCTCTTTATGATTATCACCAGGACTTGTTTTGTCAATCCCTCCATTTCCATTGCTTGGTTTTCCTTGTCCACTTCCATCTCCTTGATTTCCTGGAGGACCTTCACTACTATCTCTTCTATGCCAGGAATAAGTAAATCCACTGTCTTTATCTAGACGCCGCCTACTTTCTGAGTCATCATCACTTGTTTCTGAGCTACTGCAACTAGATCCACGACCCTGACTTTTCCTTCTGTGATAGCGTTTGTGCACTGTGCTGGGTGAAGCAATATTCATTTTTAGCCGACTTAGTTTGGGAGGTAAATTCTCATCCATATCAAATTCATCATCAGATTCCCCTTCCTCAAAAATCTGGTTAAGAACTGGGGCACTTTTTCGGGAAGTAAGACGGTTTGTAACAGAAGGCTTACGACGCAGAACAACTTGATTTGACAGAGAAACAATTTTTTTATCTTCTTCATCCTCCTCTTCATCTTCTTCCACTCTAAATAGGCACTTCCGACTACTAGTTGTAGGTTTTAAATTCACTGATGGAACAACTGAAAGTGCTGGTCCAGCCAATTCAGGAATATCTTCTTTCTTGACCGACTCAAGTGCCTTACTTCTATGTCCATTAAGAACATTTTCAGCATTACGAGCAGGAGATTGGGGAACAGCTGCATGGGACAATGGAGAAGCTGTAAGGTCATCATCTAAATCTTGGGGAACATCGATTTTTGTTGGCCATGATTGCCTAAAATAAACAAAATGGAGGAAACGGGAAAATGCAAATTTGATTAAAAATAAAAAGCAAAAATACTTCAAAGCAAGAGATTCCATGTTAAATGTTTCTCATTTTAATACAATATATTATGCTACAAATAATATAAAAAAGTAAGAAATAATATGTATTTTAAAATTAATCACATTTTATCCATTAGCCTGAGTTCAAATATTTGAATAATTAATTCTGTCTGGCTATACTTTAAACTTTAATTTCTTAAATCATTCCAGGTCATCTTTTGAAAACGAAGAGACAAATTAAGACATCTTATATCAACATATAAACAAAACAGAAATTCCAATATGTCTCAAACCAATCTTTGGATCCATTTTTTTCTCTCTCTCTTTTTTTTTTTAATTGAAAAAGTTTTTCAAATACAAATTTTCCCCCTTTCCCCCCCCTCCACCCTAACCCCCCTCCCCCTCCCCTCCCCCTGTGGCTTCTCCAAAATAAAACCCAAATTAATAACAGATTATATAATACTTTACCATCCTTTTGTACCACCCCCTATATACTAACCCTTTCTTTCTAACAATATTATTATATCCCCCTTATACTATACATTTCAAAAACAACATTCAACTGTAAAATTATATAATAAATTCTAATTTAGCAATTTCATCTATTCAACTCATAATCTATCCTTCTAACAATATCATTATATCCCCCTTATACTATACATTTCAAAGCAACATTCAAAGCAACTTTCAGCTGTAAAACTATATAATAAATCCTAATTTAGCAATTTCAACTCATAATCTATCCATTTCCTCCTCCCCCATATATATATCTCTTAATTCAAATCTTTTACGTATATTAATATAACATAACATCCCTTCTCCTAAACTAAACAATCAGTAAACTAACCTATCTCCACCCACTTTCCTACAGGTCTACATACATAATATTTTCAATATCTTTATTCTTCTACCCGTTCCACTAAAAAAAAAAAATATTTACATATATATATAAAATCCTCAATTGACTTTAAGTTTGTAATCCATATGATATCTTCTATAATGTCTCACGGCTGGATTGTTAATTCCATTACCCATGTTAGGGTAACATCACATCCTAATTCCAACAGTATGTTCGGTATCTTCAATTACCATCTGCCCCCATCAATAGTAAATATTTTCATATATAAAAAAAACCACCCGAGTGACTTTATATTTATATTCCATATAGTGTCGTCTATAATGTCATCCATCTAGATTATTAATTCCAACTTCCATGTTGGGGTAACAGCCAGATCTTCTGCATGCCCCAATCCCATAGTTCTCTTGCCTTATAGCTCAGCATAAACGTAATCCATTTGTCAAAGAATCCAAAGTAGAAAATTCCAATCCACTCAATTTATGGCCATCTTCACATCCCAAGAGTACAGCACTACAGAGATCTGTCACTCTCCTCAGGATAATATGAACTAATACTTTGCCTCAACTAAATTTCTAAATATTCAATCGTCTCTTGAGTAACTGGCATTACACTGTTGTTTGGTCTAAAAGTTTTTATTTTTGTAGGACCTGCTTTTTCTTTTCTTAACTTTTTGTGGCTTAGATCTCCATCCTGGTTTCCTTTCTATGAGTTGTATATCAACTGTTTGGTTTCCATGCTGGTCTGTAGCTTGATAAGTCATCACATTAGAATCCGAAGCCGCCTCTCTTGTATTTATAGGTAATCCAACTATAGCCTCCAAAGGAGAATCCAGAAGCGGCTCATCCACAAAAGCCTCTGTAACTTGTTGTTTTTCCGTTACCTCCACCTCCATCTGCTTAGCCTGAATTACAATCTCTTGTTGATTTTGCCTTTCTTTATTCCCCTCGTGTATTATACGTGGAGATGTTAAACCCATTTTGAAAACCTTATAATAAAATTCTTCCGCTTTTTCAACAGTATTTAATTGATATCGTTCTCCTTGATATCTCAATATTATACCAACTGGGACATCCCACCTGAATGGGATGTTTTGTTTCTTTAGTTCAGTCACCAAAAATCCAAAATCTTTTCTATCTTTTAACATCTTAGGCGGTAGTTCTTTAAATATCCAGATCTTCCTTCCATGCATTTCAAGAGTGGAGTTGAAAGACTTTTGCACAATATCATTTATTTCTTTATCAGTAAAGTAAATCACCACATCTCTAGGCAACTGCTTTTGCTTTGCCACCCAAGAATTAACTCTGTAGGCCTTATCAATCTTGCAGGATACATCTTCAGGGCTAACCTTTAAAATCCCAGCCAGAATTTCAGCAGACATCTTTCTCAAATCTTGTCTTTTATCTTCCTGTATTCCCCTAATTCTAACAGCAAATTCCATGAGTCTGAATTGCATTATTGTGGTTTCATTTTCAATCCTTTGTTTAATATTATCCACATTGTAAGTCTTATAGTCAGCTTCCTTTATTTTTTTAAACTCTACTTCTGAGCTTTTTTCTTGAATCCTTATTAAATCATTTTCAATTCTTTGTATTTTATTATCCAAATTATAAATCTTATCATCAACTTCCTTAGTGTCTATTTTTGACTTTATAATTTCATCCATCTTCAGAATTATTTCTATAAAACTTTTCATATGTTGCTTCAGAATATCATATTTTTGTTGAATCAACTCTTTAATTTCCTGTCTAAAATTTTCAAGATTCAGATTCACAGTCTTATCATGTCTTGCCATCTCCTCCAGTAAAAATTTCTTTAGGTCTATGAGGCCATTCTTCTGCATCTGCAAACTCTCAACTTGTTCATGTGATTTATAAATGGGAGAGCCCCCCCCCCATGGCTTGGTTATCTGGCTTTGTCAGTTTTAGCGCCATCCTGCCACACAAATGATTTTTTTTTCTTTTTCCTTTTAAAGAAAAAGACTTCTCTCCAAACAATATCAATAACAAGTCTCTAAGAAGGAAGAAACATGAAATAAGAATTTTTCCTCTCACTTCTAACCAGCACTTTTGCTAGATACTTTGTAACTTTGTAATGTTATAAGCTATTCAAACGGAAGGACTTTCACTTTCAGCTTTTCTCAAGCCTCAGTCAGTCACCATTTTAAACTCTCCTTTTTCCTCCTTTCACTCTTCTTTAACTTTAAAATCAGTCTTGGGGTTAGAATACTTGCAGTTTAGGATCCCCGATCCGAATTTCATCCTGCTTATTCAGATGATCTGTTAGTTTCATTGATTAGTCCGGTCCCAGCGCCTGGCTCTGCAAAAAGGCAGAGTTCTCCCGAAGCCTGGAGCAGCGGCGAGCGGAAATAGGGAGCCACAACCTGGGGACTTTGCAGAGGGCTCTACCTGCCCTCGCCTGCTCTGTCTCACATTTCCTACAGGAAATGGAGTTTTTCGAGCCACCTTTCAGATGTAAAGGCGGCTCTTTACAGGCAACAGGGCTGGCGGTCTCAGAGGACCGTCTGGCGGCGACGGAAGCCAGACAGGAAGCCGATCCATTTTTTTCTCTTAATGGCATTCGTTATTTAATTAGTTGTTTTTTAAGTAACTAAAGTGATACTAATGTACTGATATGTAGTGCAACTTATTAGGACTTCAAAAGTGCCATAGTAATAATGGAAGAGGCAAGTCCAACAGATATTGTGGTACCTCCAGAACAATATTTTATAATCTAGCCAACACTGAATCCCATCCCAATGTCTGTGGCTCTCAAAAGAACTGCTGGAACCTTCCCATATGTAAGTGGGGCAGGTGACTGATATCCCAGCTTGGAGGCATTCAAATAAAAGAGAAAAAAATAGACTCAGAGAGCCAACTGTGCACTTTCTCAAAGTAAAAGTAGTGAAGACCATGTGAAAACAAATAGGTGAAAGAAAAATAATTGTATTGGTTTTCATGGAACCAATGGATAACCCACAGTGCCCTCTGAATATTGTTTTCATCAATGAGGAATTTGGATTAGATTGAGAATGAGACTTCATATATCAATTAATTTTTATGATTAGTAGATTTCTAGCCCAAATTTCAGATATGAAAATTTTAAAAAATGTTTACCTCCTCTGTCCTACTCATGTTTGATTGCCTTGTGTTAATTTTAAATTTGAGTTTTTAGGGAATCCATTCAACCAGTCTTATGCATATATTTCAGAAGTTCAGTCCTACTCAGTTAACATATTTCCAAATCTGCATGCAGATTTTCACTTTTAAAATATTCACAACTTTAAGCTTTAATCCTATTCTCAGGCTGGGCACCTCCCCCTTCCTAATTTTCCCTGTAAAAAAATCATCCTATCCAAAACCACTAAACCTTTTTAAAAAACAAAAACAAAAACAAGAATAGTGACACTGTAAGAAAATGTAAGTATGGGAAATGTTATCCTTCTCCCACCTTTATTTCAACTCCAGTTAAACCAATCATCCAGTTGCTACTTTGAAAATATATACTGCTGCTAATATCATGTATTGGATTTAATCAAATAAAACAAGTAGTATCTAACTTGCTATACTTTTTTTTCATTTACTAAAATAAGATTTCTTACTTCATGGTGGACCTGTTTAAATACAGTGCCATTTTTCTGAACTTGTTTGGGCTCTTTCTATACCATGTTTCTCCAAAAAGAAGGCCGGGTCTTAATTTTCTTTTGACCCCCGAAAAAACGGCTAGGCCTTCTTTTTGGAGGGTTCTAATTATTGACTCACCTTGCGGTGACGGCACTGTTTGCTCTGCCCAACAGGAGCCTGCTGCTGACCCACTTCTTCTGCGGCCACTTGCTGCCACACACACCCATTACCCTGGCCGCCGTTTTGCCTTCAGATGCCTGCCAGAAGGCATCTGCAGCCAATAATAGAGCTCCGGACTGATCCGGAGCTCTGTTATCGGCTGCAGATGCCTTCCGGAAAGCCCTCTGCAGCTGATAATAAGTCTGGAGCTCTGTTATCGGTTACAGATAACAGATGCCGTTAGGCATCTAAAGGCAAAATGGAGGCCAGGGTGATGCATGCGAGTGGTGTCAAACGGCCGCAGAAGAAGACGAGGCAGGTGTCGGGGTGTGCAAGGCCTGGTAAGTAGGGTAGCTCCACCTCCCCATCCCTACCCTAGCTTATTTTTTACCTGTGTACCTCGCTCCACCCCCTGCACCCTGGGGTAGGCGAGGTCTTAATTAAGGCTAATTTTATAGGTGGGGCTTAATTTGATCACATGCGCTCAAAAACATGATAGGGTTTCTTTTCAAGGTGGGTCGTCTTTTTGGAGAAACACGGTATATAATTTATTTTAGCCTCTACTATAGTGATTTTAAATAGTCTTCCTGAAGAGACTCTCCTAATTATATCTTCAGGTTCCTTATTCGATTTCTACATTTAAATTAGTTCGATATTCTTAGAGAGTTTATTTATTTTTCTATCTCCTGCTTTTTCATTTACAAAAGGCTGCAATAAGATTATCATTTTTAATTGATTTCTCTTTCTGTATCTCAAAATTAATACCATAATAGGTTTTTTTTTTTAAATATTAGAGAATACACTCTTATTATTATGCACACATCTTAGATTTAAGGCCTCTATCATTAAATTTGAGTTTAGCCTTGAAATTCATATATCTCCCAACCTGCAATTCATTCAGGTAAGGACTGAAAGGGAGACCTTTGTCTAAAAATCTACACATCATTCTATTTACTATGAGAAAGAAATGCATTATTGCTGAATGAGGATATATAAATGTATTATTGCTGAATGAGGAATTTAAGATTCGTGTGTGTGTGTGTGTGTGTGTGTGTGTGTGTACACACCCTGTTTCCCCCAAAATAAGACATCCTCTGATAATAAGCCCAATCGGGCTTTTGAGCGCATGGCAATAAGGCCAAGCGCTTATTTCAGGGTTCAAAAAAATATATGACAGATTCTTATTTTCGGGGAAACATGGTGTGCATATATATATATATATATATATATATATATATATATATGTGTGTGTGTGTGTGTGTGTGTGTGTGTGTGTGTGTGTGTGTGCGCGTGTATATATACATACATACATACATATATATATATATATATAATAAAATATACACACATATATACAATAGGTAAAATCTTAAATCTTACATATCATATTTACTATGAGAAATAAATGTATTTTGCTGTATGAGGGTATATATATATATATATATATATATATATATATGTACGTCTTTGGTTATTCGGGTCTTCTCCCACGTAAAATTGGAAGTGTCTTGGCGACGTTTCGACAAAGTCTCATTCGTCATCTTCAGGCTGGTGTTCTCGGCTTCGTGCTTCCAGGAGCAATGTGAGATCGCAGCTGTCTCTTCCTTTTAACTGCTAGTGGGGGTGTGAGCTGATTGGGTGGGAACTTGGCTGTGTTCTGATTGGGTGGAGGTGTGTTCTGATTGGTTAGGGGCTTGGCTGTGCTCTGATTGGATGGGGGGTTGGTTGTGCTCTGATTGGCTGGGGGTGTGTTCTGTTTGGGTGGGGGCTTGGTTGTGCTCAGCTTAGTCTGAGTTGCAGGGGGATTTGAGCTGGTGAGCTGCGTTGTTGTTGTTTGGCTTCGTGTTTGTGGCCGTGCGAGCTCTTCATGGTGGGTGTCAGTCTGCTTCATGTATGGATTGGAGGGGTTTAAAGTGGCTAATGATGCAGCTGCGGTCTGGCTTCTGGTCCTTGGTCGTGGCTCATTATCAGTGTGGGTTTGAGTCTGCTTTCTGCGTGGATGTGTGGTGGTGACATCCTGTGTGGCTCTCGTGAGTGTGGGTCTGGTGTCATTCGTCGTGTTAGGGACTCGTTTGTCAATAAGGGCGGGTTTCCAAATGGCTGGTAGGCGGGAGGTATCGTCTCGTTTGTTCATGCTGTGTGGGCGTTTTTCTATCTCGATGGCTTCTCTGATTATTCTGTTGTTAAAGTGTTCAGTTTTGGCGATAGTTCTGGTCTTTTTAAAGTCAATATCATGTCCTGTGGCTTTAAGGTGTTGGACCAGGGAAGAAGTTGGTTCCTCTTTTCTGACTGAGTTCTTGTGTTCTTCTATGCGTGCACTTATTCGTCTGTTGGTTTGTCCGATGTATGTAGTGGGGCAGGCGGTGCATGGGATTTCATATACTCCTTGATTTTCTAACTCAATTTTGTCTTTGGGGTTCCTTAGGATGGTGGATATTTTTCGGTTTGTGCAGAATGCTGTCTTGATGTTATGTTTGTGGAGGATTTTGCTTATTCTGTCTGTGGTGCCTTTTATGTATGGGAGGAGGGCTTTGCCGTTTTCTTGTTCTCTGTCTTGGATTTTAGTGGGGGTTTCTTTTTGGATTAGGTTGGTGATCTTATTTCTTTGGAATCCATTGGATGTTAGTACGTTAGTGAGAGTGTGTAGTTCGGTTTTTCGGTGTTGTTCGTCAGCTAAGCGTTTTGTTCTGGAAATGAGTGTCTTGGCTACAGAGTTGATCTGGGCAGGGTGGTGGTGTGAGAGTGCGTGCAGATAGCAGTTTGTGTGTGTTTTCTTCTGGTAGATAGTGTGTCCTAGGGAGCCATTGGATTTGAAAATATCCACCATCTTAAGGAACCCCAAAGACAAAATTGAGTTAGAAAATCAAGGAGTATATGAAATCCCATGCACCGCCTGCCCCACTACATACATCGGACAAACCAACAGACGAATAAGTGCACGCATAGAAGAACACAAGAACTCAGTCAGAAAAGAGGAATCAACTTCTTCCCTGGTCCAACACCTTAAAGCCACAGGACATGATATTGACTTTAAAAAGACCAGAACTATCGCCAAAACTGAACACTTTAACAACAGAATAATCAGAGAAGCCATTGAGATAGAAAAACGCCCACACAGCATGAACAAACGAGACGATACCTCCCGCCTACCAGCCATTTGGAAACCCGCCCTTATTGACAAATGAGTCCCTAACACGACGAATGACACCAGACCCACACTCACAAGAGCCACACAGGATGTCACCACCACACATCCACGCAGAAAGCAGACTCAAACCCACACTGATAATGAGCCACGACCAAGGACCAGAAGCCAGACCGCAGCTGCATCATTAGCCACTTTAAACCCCTCCAATCCATACATGAAGCAGACTGACACCCACCATGAAGAGCTCGCACGGCCACAAACACGAAGCCAAACAACAACAACGCAGCTCACCAGCTCAAATCCCCCTGCAATTCAGACTAAGCTGAGCACAACCAAGCCCCCACCCAAACAGAACACACCCCCATCCAATCAGAGCACAACCAACCCCCCATCCAATCAGAGCACAGCCAAGCCCCTAACCAATCAGAACACACCTCCACCCAATCAGAACACAGCCAAGTTCCCACCCAATCAGCTCACACCCCCACTAGCAGTTAAAAGGAAGAGACAGCTGCGATCTCACATTGCTCCTGGAAGCACGAAGCCGAGAACACCAGCCTGAAGATGACGAATGAGACTTCGTCGAAACGTCGCCAAGACACTTCCAATTTTACGTGGGAGAAGACCCGAATAACCAAAGACCTACATACAAACACCCGCGAAAACCTGAGAAAACATATATATATATATATATATAATAATAATAAATAAAAAATAAAATAAAAAAATAAAATAAAATAAAATAAATATAATAAAATAAACAAAATAAAATAAAATAAAATAATAAAATAAAATAAAATAAAATAAAATTAAAACAAAAACAGTAAGTAGAATCTTAAATCTTACCTAAATTGCGCTTTTATATTGCTTGGACTTGCTGATCTGGTTTGTATTTCTTTTTCTTGTTTCTCTCTTAAAATGCGCTCTGCTAGTAAAAAGTAGGTAGCAGTGATGTGATTGTATTTGTTAGTTTCCAGAGCCCTGAAGAAATGAAATATGTATTAATGGTTTCCTCAAACTGGACATTTTCCCAACAAAGTACAGAAATTTGTACTTTAGACATCTTTACAAATGGACACTGCATTACTAAAAACTGGGAAATTAATGCAGCAAGTTCAATAATTAGACAACAATACCTGTGGTGTTGCAGTGGTTACAATGCATTATTGCAGGCTGACTCTGCTCATTGCTAGGAGTTTCGATCTTGACCGACTCAAGGTTGACTCAGCCTTCCATCCTTCCAAGACTGGTAAAATGAGGACCCAGATTGTTGGAGACAATATATTACTTTGTAAATTGTTTAGAGTGCTGTAAAGCACTATGAAGCAGTATATAAGACTAAGTGCTATTGCTAGACCTTGAGTTACGACTTATTGCTTATCAATTGTTTGAAGTTCCCTCCTCCCAGGTTATTTACTTACAACCCCGTTATGAAGTTCAGAAGGGCGTCTCTTCTCCACCTCCCACCACCTCCCCCCAATTACTGGACTGTATGCTGGACACTCAGCAACCAGCTTGCATTTAGGGTTGTTTGCAGGGTCCTGCAGAAGGTGACCAGATTTTACGACATTTTTGCCTATAACCAGCATTTACTTTTTTTTTTCTTTTTGGCAAACTAGCCATTAATAAACTGGTTCACTTAATGTCTGGAGCATTTGCTTAACAACCTCCATAACAAATGTTGGTTTGGTCAAGTGGATGACAGCTGCCATAATGGATGACCAGTACAGTCATAGATTGAGGACTACCTGTATATGAAAAAAAATCTTAGCTGAAAAAATGTTCTGGATTACAATAATTTATTGAATGTGAGTTTCACAATATTTGCAATTGCCAGATACAGCATACAACGACTTTCCTATATTTTACCATACAGCTCTACAAAAGAATTTCTGACACATGTTGCTAGATTACTGTCACAAATCTAACTATAATTAAGATTACTGAGAACTAATTTATTTTCAATGACTTTTTAGGATAATAACTGCTAAAAGAAGCAACATCAGGGACACACTCCCACTTTGGAGAAGTGGCACTTCAAGTGCAATGGATGGCCTTTTCTTCCTCACTCCTTCAGAGTTTGGGTGATTTATCACTACTTAGTGGACACCAGGAATTAAAGAAAGAAATTAATCAAGAAACACATTATCTTTAAACATTCAATACTAATGTCCTCTGCCCTCAAATAAAATCAAAAGCTAATTTAAAACAATGAGTAAAAGTAGTCCTTGAGTTACGACAACAACTGAGCCCAAAATTTATGTTGCTAAGTGAACTGTTTGTTAAGTGAATTTGCCCATTTTATGACTTTTCTTGCCACAATTGTTAACAGAATCACTGCATTTGTTAAGTTAGTAACATGTTAAATAAATCTGGATTCCCCATTGACTTTGTTGGTTAGAAAGTCGCAAAACGGGATTCACATGACCCAAGGAGACTGCAATAGTCGTAAGAGCCTTGGTGGTGCAGCAGACTAAAGTGCTGTTAAGTAGCACCAGCTGCCTGCAATTACTGCGAGTTCAAATCTCACCAGGCTCAAGGTTGACTCAGCCTTCCATCCTTCCAAGGTAGGTAAAATGAGGACCCAGATTGTGGGGGCAATAAGCTGACTTTGTATAAATATACAAAAGTATGAAAGCTATTGCTTAACACATTGTAAACCGCCCTGAGTCTCCAGAGAAGGGCGGCATATAAATCGAACTAATAAATAAATAAATAAAGTATGAGCCAGTTGCCAAGCGCCTGAATTTTGATCACGTAACTATGGGGACGCCACAACAGTTGTAAGTATGAAAAACAATCACGCTTTTCAGTGCCATTGTAACTTTGAATAGTCACTAAACGAACTGTTGTAAGTTGAGGACTATCTGTAATACTTTCCCCTCATATTGCTTCAACCAACTTGAAGTGAATGTTCTCACTTCAGAGCCTTCTTTGTAATTCTTCATAGAAACATAAAAGTCAGGGAGGCGGATTGACATCATGGCGATATGATGCATCTCCAGGGGGCTCCGTGGAATCACGCTGAATTTGATCTGCCAGGAGGTTCTGAGGAACCCAAATTGCCCTGGAGGGGCGATGAAGACAGAGAGGACACTCTGGATCACAAGGAGACCGCATACTCCTTTGATGCAGAGAAGCTTTCAATCCAGCGGGAAGAAAAAGACGGCCATTAGAAAGTCGGACTGGGGATTTAAAAACAAAATAGACCAAGTTGATACTCTGTGAAAATTGAAATTTGGACCCCTGGGACTTTTAAAAAGCTTTGAAGCAGATTAACAATTTAAGATAACAAAAGAGAAAGGAGAGAAATAGAGCAACAGTGACACCTACTGGAGAAAACTGCAGAGAAGTTTAAGTAATGTAAGTACTTTGGAAATATGACCATGGCTATTAAAGATAAGCTTGTTAGCCACAATAACACCTGCTTTAGCAAATTGTTTACATCAGACAGCAGAGACAGAGAGTGAAACACTAACATTTTAAACAGTGTAGCTCTTTGAAGTAAATTAAACAGATGAAGTAAATAGAAGGTGGGAATCAGCAAAGAACTTTCCCCCCCCTTTTTTGTGGGTGATATGCGAATTTGAGTGGTTGAACTTTGGGGTTTGGTGGGCCTAAGTGGATAACAAATTTATTAAACTTACTAAATCAATTAGGAAGAAAGGATTAGGGTTTGAAGAACCTGAAGACAAGGACCTTTATTTTTTATACGACTTTCCTCTCATCTGGGTTACAATAATAGCAAATTTGTTTGGAGACTTTGATGGTGATTTGATTTGTAAAAATATTGGTTAAATTGGTGAGGGATTGAGAAAATACTAGAAGATTGTTGTGTTATTGCTGACTATTTTTTAAAGGTCTTGAAGAACATTTGAAATGACTAGCACTTCAAATTTAAGTAAAGTAGGAAGAAAAAATACATCTGCGCCCTCAGCAGCATCAGCAGCTGCATCTAGTCCAGCAAGCCAAAAATCTTTGGATAGCATATTGCAGCAAGAAACAATGAATACAATAAACATAATGCAAGTAGAGCTGAAATTAATCCTCTAAACATTTCAAGAAGCCACAAAACATTTTGAAGACATGAAGGAAAAAATGGAAACGATGGATGATAAAATGGAAACGATGGATGACAAAATGGAGAACATTCAACAGGCAATAACGAAAAATGAACAAAGGATGCAGAAAACAGAAGAGAAATTAGAACAAACAGAAGAAAATGGAAGAGATGGATGGTAAGATTTACACAGGAAGATAAAAATCTTGAGAATACAGTAATTATGTTGGAGATGGATAAAGCTGAGTATTTCCTGAGATTCCAGAACATTGAGGAAGAAATAGGGGAAACCTTGCAGAGATAATGGCAGAATTGTTGGCGAATGCCATGGAGGGGACAAGCAAGATGTGTCTGCTGGAATGGATGAAATATTTAGGTATGTGTCAAGAAATAAATTACCTAGAGAGGTACATGTGAGATTTACCAAGAAGGCACTAAGAATAGAGATATTTCAAAGAGCAAGAGATAACCCATTGAAATATAAAGAAAGAGAAATAATAGTTCTGAAACAAGTCCTTGAAGAGTAAGAGATACGAGAAAACAATAACAATTTCTGACAAGACAATTAATTAAACATGAAGTAAACTTCAGATGGTTGATACCCGAGGGAATCCTGGTGAACTGGAGGGATCAAAGGCATAGACTGGGTACCATAGAGAATGCAGAGCAATTTTATGATGAGCAATTTGGATCATGAGGAAAAAAGAGAGAAGAGATAGATGACAAGAAACAAGAAGAAACATCAGGAGGAGGAAATGTACAACAACAAGAAGATGAAGCAGAATCAAAGGAGAGAGCAGAACGAGAAGGTGCAAAGATAAAAGATCAGAGAGAAATAAGAGCAATCACAACAAGACCTATCTACAAGTAAAACTATGGAAGATGAAATAAAACTATTGTTGATTAATATAAATGGACTGAATTCTCCTATGAAAAGGAAAAGGGCTTTTAACAAATTAGGAAAGTTAAAATTAGATTTTATTTGTCTTCAAGAGGTTCACGTGAAAAAACAACACAATAAATTATTGGAATATCCTAAAATTGGGAAATTATACTTTTCATTAGCACAACAAAAGAAAAGAGGTGTGGTTTTATATATTAAAGAAACAATAAAAACAAGACAAATTTTTGAAGATGAAGAGGAGAGGATATTGATGGTGGAGGTAACAATGAATTATAAACAAATACTTTTGGTAGCAATATATGCACCAAATCATAAATGAAAATTTTTATGAAAAGTTGCGTAAGAAAATTACTGAATTGGAATATGAAAATATTTGTATGGTAGGAGATTTCAATAAAATTGTAGATGCAGAATTGGACTATAAAAGCAGTAAAGTAAGTAAAAAAACCTAGAAAAACGATTCAAAAAACATTTTTTAAAATAGCGGAAGAAATAGGTATTCAAGTTGTATGGAGAAAAATAAATCCTACAAGAAATCAATACTCATTTTATTCAAACAGATATATGTCCTGGTCAAGAAAAGATATGATATGGATGTCACCGGAATTAAAGTCAAATGTGCAAGAAATAGAAATAGAAACAAACACTTGGGCAGATCATAATTCAATTGGAGTTAAATGGAAAGGACAAAAGAGGAAATAGAGATGGATATTGAATCAATCAATTCTAAAAGGCAAGGAATTCATACAAAGTATGGAAAAAGAAGGAACTTCCGGTTTGGCGTCCCGGCGATGCAGTCAGGGAAATAGCGGCGCTCTGATGAGCCCCGCAAAAACCTTGGCTGGCAAACTGCCGCTGACAGGTCTGCAGACCAATCCTGTCCTGAAGGGACAGGGGAAAGAGAGGGACCCCTTAGGTGGCCAAGAGGAACGGGCAAGTTCCTCGGGGCCAAAGGAAACCCTCTGAGTCAGTGGCGGGGGACGGCAGCCATGGCGGCTGCCATGAAGCCAGGACAAA